AATCGCACCGTTAACACAGGAAAAAATGCGATAATTTCCCTCCATCTGCGGATCAACAATTAAAGTATGCAACTGATTCGGAGGTATCTAAGCTGAAATTATGAGAATTACAACGGGGACCTCCGAAGAAAAATGTTTACTACAGTACCCCGGCCTCTAAGCTTAAAGCCAAGAACTTCTTCTCAAGTATTAAAAATGGAGGTTACAATAAGAAGCACTGCTCGCGAAAGGTAAATATAGATAATGATGACCTTGCGTGCGTCACAGCATCATTGAAAATTAAATGAAACTGTGAAAAATTTCAATTACAGTATGTGACTGATTCGGAGTGGTCCAATCAGAAATTATGATAATTACAATAGGCACCTCTGAAGAAAAATGATTACTACAGTATCCCGATCCAACCTACAGGGTGTCCCAAAAAAAAAGCACCCCTCCGGCATTTCGCCGTATTACATCCCAACATTCCCAAAATTGGACTGGAGGTGTATCAGACCCTAAATAGCCACAATCCTGAGTTACAGTCCGATCGCTACAGTAGTTTTCGAGTTATCGTCAAAATACTGTTTTTTTACGCGATTCTTAACAGTTTTTTCGGCTATCTTTTTGGACTTTGCATCGATTTGCATCGACTTCCGGCTGCGAATCCCTAATTTCGCTTAATATCGGGGGTGACTATGCGTTACAAAAATTGTTGAAATCGACGGTTATTTCACTGATTTTTATCAGAGAAAAATCTTTAGGGGTCAAGTAGGCTTGCCGCTTCATTTTCACTTAATATTCGAAGGGTCGATTTCGACGAAAACCATATGAAAAACGGATAATAAAGCTTATTTTTGTTGTATCTCGAGGATTACTGTAGCTGGCGGGCTATAACTCAGGATTGTGGTTATTTAGGGTCTGATACACCTCTGGTCCAAATTTCGGACCGATCGGATGTAATACGGCGAAATGCCGGAGGGGTGCTTTTTTATGGGACACCCTGTATGCCTAAAGCCAAGAATAATTAAAATTACATTAGTTAGGGCCGGAAAAGGTAAATGAAAACTTGACAACAAAACCCCTCTTACCCCTGCGGAATCACAAACAAAAATGACAAATACCGTATTCCGTGTGACAGCTCAAATAAAAATAAAAACGGAGGTTACAGGAGATAACAGGGCCAACACAAAATAAAATGTCACAATAACAAAAATACTGGCGGAAAATAGAAAACCGCAGGAAAAATTCAAACCAAGATAATGGGCTTCCACCCGAACAGGGGTAAAAGTTGTCTTAAAGAGGCGTTACTATCACCAAATAAAAAGAAAAAAAATTAAAATTACGGCGCTTTAGTTTAAAAAATCAGTTTGCATTCGTTTAGGTGGTAGGTCCGGGTCAAAAATGGATAATACCGGGTGTATGCAACCAGAATTCCTTCAACCAACGTCAAAAATGAAAATTAGCGCACCTAAAACGGTTTTCTTGCAAAAAAGAAAAATCACAATTACCGTACCATCTAAATATTTTTAGACAACGCCCTTAACCTACAAAAATTGGCATTGGGAGCCGATGTTTGCGGCGCCCGCTCGGATACCGTATCACAATGAAGACGTGCTCTACGGCCACAAGGACCACGCGAGTCTGGTGGGTTTTTAGAACATTAAAATAGCTTTAATATAACAAAATTGGTTCTAAAACGCTATGCAGCTCTTTTTTTAATCTTCCGTAGCAAGAAAACTCTACAAAACGTCATTAAAAACGTTTCAAAAAGATCGATTTCCATCAAAAACGCCGATTTTTCACAAATTTTCGGTCGTTTCAAAGCTTTTTATAAAATTCTTACATAGTTTTCTAGTTGAAACATAGTTTTTTTCAGTTTGGTCCCACTCCTCTCAGATGAACCAAAATTTGGAAGATTGTCGTTTGATTTTTAGTAGGTTGTGGATTCGCTCTATTGGCTGTGTAATAAGTAACTTCCAAACGCTTTAGTCTTGCTGTGTTGATGAAACATGCAGTTTCAAAAATATTTGTTTCCATGTTTGCAATATTATTCCGGGGAGTCGTTGAATCATAAACATCAACAATACGACCATTTGACACCCCGGAATTCCGATATTCTGTAAAAGAAACTTCATTATTAACATAACTATATTCTGAAAATCGGGGATTGACCTAACGAAACGATATTGCGAAATTTCGACATTCTGAAGCGTCCGTATTGTCAGTTTCGAACCCTGAATGTTGACGTTTTGAATTTCGAAAACCGACTGTCCCAACCCCACGTAACTAAAATTTCGACAAAGGGTCGACATCTTGAATTTCGACATTACGAATTTTGGTATTGAAAAAGCCGTATTGACTGGTCCGTCCCCTTTGCTACTTTTTACGCCTGTTTATCGCATCCCTATGCGAAACATTATTTGTTGTTGCATCGGTCCTTTCCAAAATTCCTGTTATCACCGCCAGAAGGTGCCAACGCTGACATGGCTGTAAAATCGCCTCCCAGCCCGACAAAATTTACAGTAACTGGGGATGTGTCGGAATTTCGCGAGGTGCTTTTCCAGCTGATAGGGCCAGGGGAGTGCAAATGCCTGGCTCTTCAGGACCGAAGATTTGGGAAGATGTTTCATCCAAAATAAGGCAGGGATAATAAATTTTATTCAGAATACCTAGAGGAGCGATTCCGATCCTAGTTTTAAAAATTTCGAAGAGACAATAAAAATCATTAGAAAGTAGATAGATACTAGACAAGCAAATCTGCGCTTTTCATACCTACGTTACTTTATTACTTTATTCAAACACTATCATTTCTGAAACCTTATAATGTCAAAAATAAGACAAGAAAATGTTCTGGCCAAATGTCGCCGGAAATTCGGCTCGGAAAGATGAAATTTGTTTTGAAATTAATTTTGAAACAAATTTTATGTTTCAACTTGACTTGAACACTGCCGACGAATCAATGTTTTAATGGCTTCTCGAAAAACAACCCAACTTGCATGGAAAAGATTGTTTCAACGAGATTTGTGGATTCGGATGGTTTCTGCCATTCAATAAATTCAGCCTTTCCGTGTTTGTTGCTGAAAAAAGCGCAAAAAATGTATGAAGAGAGTTGACTGAACAGCTAGTTTTAATTCACGAAGTAAAGTAAGGAAGGCACTCCTTTAAGGATAATTTTGTTGAATATCCAATTTACAAATTAAGAAGAAAAACTCTTGAAACGGTATAATTCGGGACAGAAAAGGGCGATACTAAAAAAATGAAGTTTCAAACCAAATTTTTCTCTGAGGATCTGAATTTTTCGCAATCTATGGACGCATTACGCATCTTCACAATCATCTATCGCAATAAAACGATTTGCGACTGGGGACGATCACGAAATATTCTTAGGCTACTTATTGGATTAGAAAACGCAAAATATTTTCCGTATTCATTTTTCAGAACCGCTGATTTAATCCGAATTTTCTAACTCGTCTTTGAATGAACAGATAGCTATTTAAAAAACTACGAAGGATAAAAATTCAAACTTCTGTTAAAAAACGAAAAATAATGTTTCAACAAAATGAGCAAACAAAGGGTTTGTACTATTAACAGTTCTCGACGACTAGGCGTCCTAATAACAACACCCCCTCTAACTCTACCCAGAAGTCGGAAAAGAATGTTAGTTAAACCATTCGGAAGCTCTTGAAACGGCCAGTTTGCAACAATCTTCTAAAGCATGTTTTTCTTTGAAGCTGCCACTTTACAAAGCGTTTAAATCAAATCAACGCAATTTATCCGGGGTTTCAACCACCAACCCGTAAAAAATTCTTTAAAAATTTAGAATTTTGGTCACAACTCAGCCAGTTCATAGCGAAAAATCTATATTTTCTGTATTTTTATGCATAAAATTTGTAAATGAACGTTTGAACTATCAAAACAGCCTAAAACCACATCTATTTATATTATAAAATTGAATAATAAATGAAAATTTGCTTCCCCTCCCCCGATAATGCGAAAAACCCCTTCTTAGTCAGGGAGAGCTCAAACTGACAAAACTTGATTTTTAAATGTTTTTTTTCCAGTGCTGGCTGCTCTGCGCCACCAAGTACAAATTTCTGCTGGCCGACGGTGTGTTCAGCAGCCATCCAGGAATTCGGGAACCGGGCGGCAAAAAACGGCAAATACCGGTGAGGCAATACACTTTTTCTTTGAAAAAATGATTCATAAATTTTAAATACTTGATGGTTTCATCGCCCGTGATAGAAGTTTAAGTCGCTTCAAAGCCCAATTCAAAACTTTAAAAAAAACTGGAATTTTTCTGATCTATTCCCCCGGATACGGCGGTGTTGTCGAAAACCCTATTTCGATATTTTTGGGCCCCTTGGCCTCTCGGAAAATTTCTACAATTGTCGATATGTTTCAATTTGGGTTCTAAAACTAGAAAGTTTCTTTAGTTTGTAATTGGCTTGATATCGAAACCGATTACATTTTAAAATTAATTTAATTATGGACCCTCTAAAGCTATTCTTCAAATTGTACTATCGGGGCTACGATTAGGTAATTCTTCCGCATTATCTAAATTTAGGGCTTTTTACTATTCGCATAATCCACTGGTCATTTTAATGGCCTTGATTGCCTTGGGCCGTGATTAGCGAATTAAAATGAGTGTAAAATGTAAATATTTAATTAGGTTTTTTAATAAATCGTTTCAGAAAATAGCCATCACCAACGGCGAGAACTACCGAAATCAGCTGAAGAAAAAGTTCGGGGCCAAGAATCGGTGCTTATAATATTTTATATTATTTAATATATTTATAGTTGTGTTATTTTTATGTAAATATGCCATGAATTTGTGTTTTTTATCCACGGGTCTGAATAAAATATTTGGAGGAAGCATGCTGCGTTAATAATGCTCATGTCACGTTTTGTTTTGGACTTTTTCCGAAACATTTTTATCGTCATCTGATAAAATATCGATTTAACGCAACCCGTATGACACCCTCAATGAGGAAAACCAAATAAGATTCAAATAATTTCTACGTTTTTGGTGGTATAAATGGTCGAATTTCGTCTATCCGGATCTCTTCGAAATTAGACGTATCGTGCATTCTAAATCCGTAAGAAATCACGATAATAAAGTCAGCTTTGTACCGTAACGGAATCCAGTCTGGCAGGAAAAATTCCGAAGGTATCAGCTGCTTTTCGAGGCCTCCACCAGGCTTTGCGTAGGTCTGCAAAGAACGTTACATTATTGAAACGCAAGGAAACGCACTGCCGATATCTTCAGAATCATTTTTGCCCCGCTCTCACGAGGGGGCTCCAAAAATTGGGTAATACTCATAATTGTTCGTCTGCACGGAAATCTTTAGTAAAAGGCGAAAGATTTTCTCGGTCAAATGCAGACGAACCAGAGGCGAGGAAGGTAGGAAGGGGCCGGCTGATCAGGGAGGATAGTGGGCCAGTTGGGGGGCGCGGGGGAGCGGGAAAGCGAACAGACGCGTAGGCACCCATGGAGATATTTCTGATCGATTTTAAAGTTGACTCGCTATGTAATACTGTAGTGCCACAGGTTTAATACAATTTTCATAACCTCACTTTTTATATCATAAATTACCTCCGAAAAATGAACCTTCCCGGTCCCATTTGCCGCCAAAAATCCCATGAACCAAGCGAATGTCGAGGGCGGGGCTGAAAATGTTTGTTTTAACAAAGATTGAGCATAGATTCGTATGGACGTCGATAATAAATTTCACCAGTTAAAAATAAAATTCTATTTTTAAATAAGTTGCACGGTTTCTTACCGGTTGTTAACACTCGATTGCAATACAAATGCGCTAGGACGAGGGTCGCAAAATTGGATTTTGTATCCGGAAATATATAGCGTAACGAGGAAGTTTTGTAGCCATTACTGATCCTGAAATAAAAAATGTTTTAATGAAAATGGATAAAAAGGAACCTCTTCTGAGCTGAGTTTTTTCTTTTTTTTTAAAAAGCCAATAAACCCGAAAACATCTAACGAACCTATTCGCGCCGTGAAATACGGCCGAAAACGTCGAATTCAACCACGCGGGATCATTCGAAAATAACAAAACTGTGCCAATTTTATCTGCTTGCCCATCTAAAACCTGAAAGGTTTTAATATTGTCTATTAACACTATATTTTAAAAGCTAAATAGCAATATAAAAACTAAACAAATTCAAAACCGATTAAAACTTTTCAGGACTCCTTTACCTGATGAATTTATTTTAGTTTAATATTTTCAAAAATTTTGGCTTGAATTTAATAGACCTTGAATTTTAGGTTCTTTTATAATTTTTTCGGAATTAAACAATTTAAATCCTGTAAAGTTTAAAAAATGTTACAAAATTTTCCTTCGGCTGCATGCGTCGTATTGTATTTATCAAAATCTCGCCGATTTTGATAATTTGAAACCAATTTGGTTAAATAACGTTGTTGAGTAGGGCCCAGGGAAATCCTTTTCTATAGCATTTAATCTGAAACCCACATTTCTTCAGTATCCACTCGGTGGCAAATCGCGTGAAATTTGCATCCGATGCTTGGGGAAATTTCTCACGGATGAAATCCCCGCGTCTGGCATGCACGCATAGGCTTAAAGGTATCGATGAGGTTATTTTATAGGGGCATTTTGCACTTGTCACAAATTTAAATTTCGAAATGTCGGCGTTTCAAGTTTCTACGGCATTCGGATGAATAATTTTTAACAAAATGAATTTCGACGGATTTCTTTTAGTAACCATTTTTCCAGCAGACACGAATTAACGGTGAAATATATGTTGATTTAATATAAGCACTACTGCGAGGTATCCAAAATCACCATCTCGACTGATCGCAAATTAATGGACGTTATATGTAATTGCCGAGCATTAATGCACTAAAACTTACACATTCCCCGAAACATCCCTTTTCCTAAGCACTTTTTCCGCTTCTGCAGTAACATTTTTCGACGGCTGCATCCATTTCAAAATCTCCGTTCTCAGGTGCGAAAAGTAAAGGTGACTCTGGAAAAAGTAATAAAATTTTAATTCCATTCACTCCAGATGAACTATTACAGGGATTCTGTTTTTCGACTTTAAACATACACGAAACATGCTTATTCCACCAACAGTACCTGAAAATATCTCCCAGTTCCCAGCAGCGCCGTCTCGTTCCTTCCCATTAGTGCATCGAGGGAGGAGAAGCGGCAGCAGCCTTTTTCGTGAAGTTTTATGGTTGGCATCTGAGGCTAAATTTAAGGAATTCAAAAGAGCCAATTTTAGAGCAATAATTTTATGTGTTTCACAATATTTTGCCGTGAAACGTGGTGCATACATCAATCGATTTGGATACATATGTTTATCAAAATTCCAAAAAAATATATAAAAAGTAAAAGTGAATAAAGGTGACTTTAAAGGGACATGCAAGGCATTCCGACTGTGTATTTTTTTTCTATATGAATCGCCTTTAGATTTATTGTGCTGCAGTACGGGTTATTCAGAACCTACACTGTCCATTGTGTACTGGAGTCTGGAAATAAGGCCCGGAAATGTGGTCCTAATTGCAAGAAGACGGTCGAAAAGCCTGGTGCTGTCGAGGTGGAGGAGAGGCGCTCTGAATTCCGAATTACAAATTTCTAACCTAGCTAAAATTAGTTTTGAATTGAGGAATTAAAGAAGTCTGCTTTATTGATGTCTTAATATGAAATAGCAATAATTCAGATAGTTTATTGGTAAACATCGACGTCTAAAGTTATGTTTCACGGAGGTTTAGATTAGAAATATCGAGTGAAAGATATAATTTCCAGAACTGCACACATAAAAATTTCAGAATTTAAAAAATATATGCTTCATCGATGTTTAGATAAAAAAAATATTTAGCGGTAACCGTAATATCCATCGTTCATCGATCTTCGGTCTAATCGAATTCCCTGTCGGCTATCTAACTAAAATTACTCACAAAATGAAAAATAAAAACAATATGTTTCACTAAGGTTTGAATAACAACGTTGTCGAAAAGAGCCAATCTTCCAGAGCTATGCTGTCGACTATCAAATGCTTACCGATTTGTGAGGTCGGCAATTCCCAGTAAAGCCAAAATCTCGAACAGCTGATTCCCAAGTCCGGAGGGGCCTCTCGTGGCCGATAGGCTCAGTGAAAGCGTCCCTAAAATTCGAATTTTTCAAAACCCCAATTCGAAATTTTTTACTCCTTGTCAATCCAGATCCAGGACGGTTTAATGCTTTTCGCAGATTTTGCTATTTTTAATTTATTTAATTTCAAGCATTTGTCGCTTTTCTGGCAGCATTTAACAGTCCTAATCCAGCTCGCAAAAAAATAGGCGAAAAAGAGCCCGAAAGTTAAACATGATGTCGGCTATGCAAAAATGTTTTATAAAAAAACCCTGTCGGTACAACGTTACGCAAACCATTGATCGCTCTTTAAGATTGTGTTTTACCAATTTTTGAATATAAAAATTTGCCTACGGTACCTGTTTTCTTAGTTTTTTGGCATACCGGCGAGCTTCTTCCGTCCATTGTGGTGCTTTGGAAAAGGAGAAAAACTAAAAAAAATTTTAAAAATTCTAGTTTTTTCGCATCATCGCTGGGAATATTATTTTTTCCATGATAACAAAAATGCCTAATAGCGCAATGGTCAGTGTTTTAAGGTGTTTTAGTAAAATTTAATTGTCTTTAACTGGAAAACCTATCTAAAAAAAGTTTAGAAAATCAGATTTTTTTGTTTGAAAATGGGTAATTTTCCTTCGGACAATCGATTTTTGGATTTTTTAATGAACAGTAGAAAGTTAGTAAAAAGTAAGAAAACAGTAGGATCGGTTTTTCTATCTGTACTAAAAAAATTCGACCCCTCCGATATTATGAAGGCTCCAAATCTCTAAAAATATGTGTTTTTTCATAGGCAAGTACCAATAACTCACGGCATAGTAATAAAACAGCCAATAACGCCCATCTAACGACTTTCTTGCCCGGCATTTCAGTAACCAAAAAATGCAATAAAACGAGCGCCGAATATTAGCCGGCACGAAAAGAGCCATAAAGCGGAGAAGAGAGGCCGAAAATGCTGATAACGGATAGCAGTTGTCTCTCCGCTGGGCTGGGGGGTTGTTGAAACTTTGGACCAAATCGGGGGCGAAGTTATAAATGTTTCAGAAAATCGGCCACTATGGGGATCTATAAATGGATGTCAATGTCGATGACTTTTCTTCCCAAATAAAAGGCCTAAACTATACATGTTTCGAAGATCTGTATCGCCATGCCAAGTTAGGAACAATCGATTCAAGCAAGTGTCACCCGATATTCGTAAATTAAAAAATGGGTTTAAAGCACGAGACGATATCTCGCGCTGGCTAGGCATGAGAAGCTGAAAAAGATAAATTTTACCTATTTTTAGGAATCTGATGCGCTTAAAAAATTCAATCCAGCACTGGTGATAGTCGTTATTTAAAAAAAGAAACATTTACTTGAGCCCGTAGCAACTTCGAAACATAAAAGACATACTTCAAATATTTTCTATTTCTTCTTCTCAGCGGCTATAAAGACGATCTCATCTCGTCGATCTGGATTGGATTGGATTAATTGTGAATTCTAAAGTATCGATAGGCAAATGATTCAGCTGAGGCCACGTTACCGTAAAGGAAGCCAAACTGGGAGGAAAAATTCGGCAGGGACGAGCCTATAGGCAACCCTTCGGTTTTGCGTAGGTCTCTTAATAGAACACCAGCGTCACAACACCCTTCATCAGACACTTTAAAATTATTTTTGCCCCGCTCTCACGAGGGGGCTCCAAAAATTGAGTGATTCTCATAATTGTTCGTCTGCACGGAAATCTTTAGTAAAAGGCGAAAGATTTTCTCGGTCAAATGCAGACGAACCAGAGTTAAGGAAAGTAGGGGAGTGAGGGTGATCAGGGGCGCTAGTAGGCCAGGTGGGGGGCGCGTCGCATGGCCTCGAAGTCCATAACACTTGCGCAAGGAATTGATTGACACATCAAAACAACTTTATGAGGCTATCAATGTATTTTCGAACGTCTTTGCTCGGCACTGACTGATAATGACTGCGACTGATTGACCCGTAATTTATTCAGCTCATCATCACCGATTATGAAACATGTACATTTACAGACTACTCAAAATTAAACTTGACAATAGTCCAATGCGACATCCAAATACCCGTCACCCCCATTAACAGCCCTTAAAATGGCATATATCGTCGATCGGATTTCTTCGAAATCCGGCCGGTCATCTGGCCCAAAAGACCAGCAGCGCGTCATTAGCGATCTTCTGAAAAAGTTAAATTTATGCGTTTCAACAATTAAACCATACAAAGAAAATCTAGCTCTAGTTAATCAAGCTGACTCTCCAGTTTCATCTTTACAGCTCGGCAGTTTTCATAGCGAAACTTACATAATAACCGGGCATTCCGGCACCATCAACCGGCCGCCCTGCTTCAAATAGTTGAGCATCTCCTCGGGCTCCTGGGCAAAGTACGGACTCATCCCCCACGAGTACAACTCATACAATAGCACGCCGTAGGACCAGCTGAAATTTGCGGAATTAGACCGGTTTCCAAAAAAATTAGGCGTCAAATTTGATCCAATCACAAGTCGAAAACATCGGTAGTTGCTATACTTCGCCAACCACCCCGGGTGGTACCACCCCTAGGGGTGGTTGGAGGGTGGGGCGGGGGGTGGTTGGGGGGTGGTCGTGGGGGGTGGTTGGGGGTGGTCGTGGGGGGGTGGTTGGGGTGGTCAGGGTGGTTGGGGGGTGGTTGGGGGTGGTCAATGCATTAGCCACCCCACCCCACCCCTTACAAAATTTTTTCATGATCTGGCAATAAAACTTTTTGGTCTTCCGGCTACATTGTCTTTGAGGGACCATATCTGACTCGAACAAGCTTTTATTGCCAAGTCATGAAAAAATTTTGTAAGGGGTGGGGTGGGGTGGCTAATGCATTGACCACCCCCCAACCACCCCCTCTGACCACCCCCCAACCACCCCCCACGACCACCCCCCAACCACCCCCCGCCCCACCCTCCAACCACCCCTAGGGGTGGTACCACCCGGGGTGGTTGGCGAAGTATAGTAGTTGCCAAAAAAATTGGTTTCAAAAAATTTGGAGGATTCGGAAAAATTGGACGGACAAGTTCTGCTTTCGTCATCGATCTATTTCGAGCAAACGTTAAAAAATGAGGCGCATCAAAATAGCGAAATTTTGTTTGAAAACTTTTACAGCGAGTTTTTGGCTAGGCTTCGCTACGAAAAAAGTGAGATAAGCCAGTTTCAAAAAATTTTGAGAGGCCGAAAAAACTGCAAACTTTAATTCTTCCAATTCTTCATAGTGTATCTGAGAAAATCTAATAAAGAAGACGAATAAAAATCGAGGAATTGTACGATTTACACGATTTTGCAATGAGTTCTCCTACGCTTCTTGGAGCGCCTTCACAGCGGATTAGACCAAGCTAAAAAATTAGTTTAAAAACTGTAGAGAACCCAGAATAATCGAAAGGGTTGATTGATCGAGTTGTGTATTTCGAGAAAAAGCCTATTTTCGAAACAATAGACAATAAATTTGCCGAATTGTGTGTTTTGCCAGATGGAATAAGTTTTGCATAGCCTTTTTCGACGCGGCTTCAAGACATGGTTAAAAATTTAGTTTCAAAAAAATTCAGGAAAGAGGCAAGTTTGAAAGCACTAATCTCTCAAGATCATCGCTTCAGAAAATTTGCAACAAAAACATTAATGAAAATCGAGGAATTCTGCGTTTTGCCCATTATTAAATCACATGTTAGTTTTTTTCAAAATGAGTTTAAGACACCGCGAAAAAATAGACACAAATGCAGGCCTGAATCTAGAGACGGGGACTTGAATAAAAATAAAATGTTGCAAAAAACATAGTTGCAAGGCAAACACCGCTTTTCAGAATATTTATGTAATCTTTAATCGTCTCCTTTAACAATAAGCCAAATTTTTTCGATGCGTACCGCTTAAAGGGATACCCAAGGTTTTGGTGGCAAATCAATAGTTATGTATTCCGGCAAGTACAAATGACGCGCGAATTTTGTGCACCAATGGGCGCCCATTGCCGCACAGAATTCGGACACCTTTCCCTCTTGTGGCGTCCCTCCCCCTCCCAATGGTTGCCACTATGGCCTAATGGATAGCGTCCAGGCCTACAAAACGGTGGTCTGGGGTTCGACCCCCGCTAGTGACATAGTTTTTGCTTTTTGAACCCCGAAAAGGTTGGGCATCCCTTTAATTAGTTTGATTTTTTCATTTTTTCAGCTCGATAAATTCCCGTATTGAAGCACTTACACATCAGTTTTTGTCGAAAACTGTGCAAATTCCAGGGATTCCGGGGCCATCCATTTGATCGGCAATCTTCCACCCCTGGTCGTGTAGAGGAATGTATCGTTGAAGCGGCACAGTCCGAAATCGGACAGCTGCAAAGGAAGTGAAAAATGTTTCTTTTTAAAGCGTGCCTGAAAAGGCCTGCATCTTTTAATGATGCCTGGTAACCTCGATGTTTGAAAAATTGCTCCTAAAGAAGCAGGACCTACACCCCTGATAAGAGAAAAGTGCCAAAATGTCCTTTGTTTTATTGAATTTTTTATTCTATTCTTGAACGAACGCTAAAAATACTTAAATTTATTTTAAAAAGGAACGATACCTTTACAACCTTATTATCAGTGACCAACACGTTACGAGCGGCCACGTCGCGGTGAATGATGTTTTTGGCAGCCAAGTATACCTAAACTTATGTTTTAAAAACTAGCAATCAAATGGGGCATTTTCCAGCCATTAAAATTAGTGAATACGATTTAAGAAAATGGCAAAACAGCAAATATTATTTGCCCTTCTTATTTAATTTGTTATTATTTTCTAATTAATATTTTCAAAATACGTGATCTCAAAGGATCATTATAAAAATTCAGTGTACGACTCCAGGCTCTGGCGTAATGTAACGGAAAGAGTTGCGATGTACTGGACACAATGTTGAAACCTATATTTTTTAATCGCAGTCGGATCTTACTTCCTGGATCCGATCCTCTAAAGGGAGGGGAAAGGTATTAATATCAATTCTTTCAAAAAGAAGCACCAAAAAGAGGCAAAGCGCGGCCCCACTTTCCATGGCGGAACGCCCAATGAATCAAATGTTTCATCAAAAATCCCAATAAAAAAATTTTAATGACCATTAATGCATATGTGTAGGCAAAAGCGTATTAAAAACAAATCATTAATAACAAATAGCCTTAACAAGCGCTGGAAATTTAGGTATAAATTTTGAAAGAGATAATCGTAATCTAATAGCGTAATCGTAAGTTTTTTAATAGTGTTTTAGTAAAAATATTTTGCTATATTTTAATTGTAAAAACAATGATATAAACTTGAATGAATTTTATTAGATAAGATTTTTGTCAAAAATCGGCCATTTTTAGTCGCGGAATCGATTTTGTTTGAATTTGTAGCGAAAATCTTGAAGTTGTTATGTTTATAACTATCGAAAAACAGTTTCTTAGAAATCCTTAGAAAAAAGTGGCCCACCCTCCCCCGATAAGGCGAAAGAACCGAACCAAAAAATAGGCAATAGAAGCCAGCCATTTTTTACTTTTTTTGAAAATTATGGGTTTCAAAAAGCTTTAGCGTTGTCATGGAATTGCTAGTCCTAATCCCTCAGGTTTTGCGTAAAAAATATAACCCCGAAATCCTCACCAGTGCATCGCTAATTTGCCATGATATATTCAGGAAGTCGTCGATGGTCAGGAAATTCTAAAGTTATATTTAGTTAAGATTAAGCTTTTTGCTAGAATAAGCGTTGCTTAAGTATTTGATAAACCCATGAATTAATATAGTTAACCTTAATTACAATAAATAATTTAATATTAAACATACCGTGTCTTCTTTAACCTCTGATCGTAATAAGCCGAGCAAATCTCCGCGCTCGCAGATTTCCGTTACGATACAGGGTTGAAGTGGGTCTAAAGAGGATAGGTAAGGGATCGTGGCCTTCATAATATTCATTTCCAAACTTTTTATATTAAAATTTAAACAAAAAAAACATTTTTTAGATCACGGTTTTTCCCGAGAGTGATCTACACATTTTATTGGTTGATTCTGATTGATAGAATTGTTGATAGAAGAAGTTGCCCACCAGCGAACTATTTTCGATTCGTTTATACGATCTTACACGATTTTACGGATAACGACGACTTCAAGGAGTTCAACAAAAGATCACAGCAAGGACAAGTTAACTAGGTCCCTCTCAAATTTTTAATACTCCCGATTTGGCAAAACTTTTTAATCATTATTGAATTCGTTTCCTACTGTTTTACTTGAGTTTGTTTGTTTGTCTGCGTCTTAATACGATCGATTCGCAATTTTGATAACTGAAATTTTACGAAACATGTTTTGAAGAACGGTTTTTCGCTCGAATTTTGGTCGATTCCCTGTTTTTAATTAATGAAATTTGTTATTTTTTAACCTGGAAAAGCAACAAGACAACAGCTTATTAAATTCAGATAATTTGGTATTTCGAAATCATCTTAGACGACAATTGAGATTCTGAACATCTTGGGAACCGTTCAATTTTTGAAACACCTGTCTGGCAGCCGAGAAGTGATGCCAAATGCGGGTGATAGCCAAGGGATTTCATGAAGGCAATCTCCTGCTGGAATTCGGTTCTGAAATTACCGTAGTTGTGTTAAACTATAAACTCGGTTAATTACATTAAACTGTACATAAAAATACCGATTTTTTAACAACTATTTTGAAAATCGTTCTAAAAATATGTTCTAAAACCTACAAAGTTCCAAAAAAATTCTGCTATACTAATCTTCAGTTGTAGCTTCTTTGTTGCCAATTTTTCAATTGATCGAGCCGAAACACTTTATTACTACGTTGCGATATGGATCCGAGTCAGCGTCTAACGTCAGGTTTCCTTTAAAGGGCTGCCGACGGCATGTGTCGATCCCCCCTCATCAACAAATTGGCAAGTAGCCAACAGAGCGCGCCCAGGGGAGAGGCGCAGAGACATTTTCTTTTCCGCGCGTAACCGATTGACAATGCCGTCGGCATCCCTTTAAAATGCCACAAATCCATGCTATTCAGTTATTTTATAAAAACTTCTGCTGCCATTTAAAAATATTCACAAATTTCAAAAATTGCTAGGGCACCGTAAAAATTTTTAAGCAAATTAAAAACATTCATTTTGGGGTTATTTTGCGTAATTTTACACCCTTATGAGAAAAAATTGGAAAACGTTAAAAACTCACAAATCGGTATTCGACGCATGGGCATGCGCCATTTTCACAGCAACCACGTTTTCGTTGGCGTTTAATGAGATGGATAACTGAAACATTTTCTTTGGTAATACCGCGAAGACTAAAATAGGAGAGCAGCCACGTAATTTCTCTAGCCTTAATTGATAAATATGAGACCTGATTCAAATTTAATAATTTTTACCAAAAATTTCAATAAAATTAATAATTCAAATTTAATAATTTAAAGGATAAGGGATAATCATTAGCGCGGGAAAAAAATGTCTCTCCCCTCCCGCCCCCTCTGCATCTGTGAACCCCCCCCCCTAGGGGTTAAATACCTCTTTTCAAAGGTTCTCCAATAAACCAAAATTTTTCGCATTGGCTCGCGTCAAGTTGAATTATGCAAAATCATCAATTCACAGAATGGCGTGTGCTTGAAACATTTAATATTTCGTTTCGTCGCCTCAAAGACAAGTTGTCTTAGACGACCATTGGCCCTACTATAGCTGACCTGTATACTCGGGGCAACCTTTAGAATTGGGGGTATGCCCCTCAGAATTCCGCGATACACCACCGCATACGCACCGGAGCCCAAGCGATCAGCGCTGATTTCAAGGGAATATGGTCCGATTTCCCAGTCGTCTGGGGGAGGGTTTCTGAAAAAGCGTTTTGATTGTAAACAGGGTAGGACATCGCGCTGGTTTAATGATGTTTGAAGTTGTGAACGCTGCAAAACTTCCAAAAACGAGCTTTCAAATTGAATGGTTTTGATATTAATTCAGAACGTTAAACTGGGCAAAATTATTTTAACGAAAAATTCGGTATTCCGAATACGGCCTGGCTCTGTTTGGCTTTTTGGTGGGGCCCCCCGGCCCCCCCCCCCCCAAAAAAATTTCCCCCCCCCCCCCCCCGGCCGCGCCCTCTCCCCGTTGGGTTCTTCAATTTTTTTTGGGGGGGGGGGAGCCCCCGTCGACCCTTTAGAGAATGTTTCGTTTCTCTAGGCAGTACCATGGCTTTTGGGGAAAAGTTGTAACATTTTTTTGAAAAATTTTACTATTTTTAGCATGCTATCCAAGACGAATAATTCCTCTAAAACTGCAGGCTAACTTAAAGGGAATATGGTCCGATTTCCCAGCTTCCGATTTCTGGGGGCTGGTTTGGGAAAAAGTGTTTCGATTATAAACCGGGCGAACATGGACAGCTAGTCTGATAATTAATCCGTATCCTAATGCGCATCACTGCTATTGTCGAAACATTATATAAAAAAATTCATGTTTTAAACTTGTTAATAATTGCTTAATTAAAAGGGATCGGGGCGGCATAAGTCAATCGATTACGCGCGGGAAAGAAAATGTCTCTGCGCCTCTCCCCTCTCGCCCCTCTCTCGCCAATGCATCTGTTGAACCCCCCTTGGGGAGGGACGCCGTCCTCATCTCTTTAGTTACTCTTTAGTGGATTACGTTCGAGGTGGTTGCATCTCTTAATATAATTCCCGAAACATAAATTGAACTATGGCACCACTCTATGAAGCGCATTGGTATCGAAAATTATTATCTTTATTTTGTAAAAGATGAAACACGTTTTTGATTTGACCACCACCTTGATTTTTTTCTGCCCTATTAAATTATCAAATTCAATCAACAAACCTCAAGTTTTTATTTAATTTTTGCTTTTTAACTTAATTGCTAATTTTCAGGTTTCAATTTAAGCGATTGGTGTCTTTTGGCTCATTTTCTCACATTGGCTCCAAATTCTTGGCACTTGGCGAGCTGGAATAGTAGTTTGGCGCCGCGGCCTCGAGCTTGTCCAATTCTTCCAGGTGGGTGTTGATGCTAAAATCGGTATTTAAAGTTGTAAATTACAGAAATAAATAATGACAGTCCAAACATTGAAACTAGAGGTCGAAAACTTAGATATTTAAATACCAAAACGGAAATCCAAAAATTCAGAGGTTTCAAAAATAGGTGGTGGTATCACCTAGGCAAAAGAGATTAATGGAGAAAGGATGGTCTTCGAATAACATAACCAGGGACGTAGCGTAATACCTGCCCGGGGCCTTCGCCCCGAAATCGACCGGGGCCCGAAAATTTCATAAGGGTGCCCTTATAATTTTTATTTTCTCAAAAATTTTGCTGCCTGCGGCGCTATTTTTTCACGTTTTTACGGCTATTTGTAGAGCTAAGTAACCTTTTTTTCCAAAAATTTTTGCCTGCGGCGCTGTTTTTTCTGCACTGTTTTGAGTTTTTTGGAAAAATTTTTTGGGGGCCCCCCGAAATTTTTTTCTGGCTACGCCCCTGAACATAACCGAATAAAATCGGGTAAGAGTTTACTTTACCCGCCCCCCCCACACCGGAAGGGTCTTAAAGTTTTCGGTATTTTCGCTTATTTTGTCGGGATTTTTGCAACGCCATTCGATAGAGCGTCAAAAAATATACTAAGAGTTTTAAATTCAGCATACAATAATGTAAAATAAAAAAGTTATGGTCAAAAACTTCCGGCTGGGGGGGGAGGGTAAAGTAAACCGTAGCCTAAAATCGATTTAATAATCGTGATACCACGTGCTAGGCCCTATCATTAATGCGCAATCTTATAGCACCCACCTAGTGAATAATTTATATAAAGCTGTAATTAAAGAAACGTGCAAGGCCTAAATACCGATCTGGTTGGCTATGGATTCACTATGGATTTTACTCATTACCGCGACACGCAACGCAACAGAAAAAGCTATAAAATATTTCTTCTTTTAAAATGTTTCTAAAAATCCTTTAAAATATTAAGCTTACCAGCAGCACATCCGAGGGCAAAATTTCCGCATACAAATCCCGATCACAATCGATGCCGTCATGAAAACGACGACCACCACGGCGATCATCCACCACGGGAAGATGTCCTTTTTTGAGGCATCTTATAATATGCTCGGTATTTCCAGCCGTTTCAAGTGTCCAATGTGAGTGTTCCACTCATCGACCGGTGGGAAAAATTCGAAACATAACAAAAATTTTCGGGAAATATAGGGTCCCAAAAAAAGGTCCTGCAAATTCTGACCAGCGATAGGGACCC